AGAGAAAGAGAAAGAGAAAGAGAAAGAGAAAGAGAAAGAGAAAGAGAAAGAGAAAGAGAAAGAGAAAGAGAGAGAGAGAGAGAGCGAGAGAGAGAGAGAGAGAGAAAACCAGAGAGAAGGGGATAGAGCAAGAGAGCGAGGAAGGGAGGGAGGGAGGGAGGGAGGGAGCTGGCATTGAAGGTGCACATGCTGGACATTGAATGCTTCACGTATCTCAATCGGGCTTTGGAGCAGGGACCTGAGGCCCAAATTGTATTCTTGAATCAGCTGAGAGTGGCTCCCATTCTTCATTTATTTAGGAGTCAATCAAAGGACATCAAACCAAGTGTGTTTGCGAAGCTAGCAGTAAGTATGGTAGTTGGAATGCTCAAGGAGCGCAGGTTACAGTTGTGACAGTGCAGGCTCAAAGTGCTTTCCCGTCGTGTTCTGGTTTCTGGTCATGGTTACATTCCCCGGCTTCATCAGGTTGGGCTGGGTTCTTTGAGCGAATGACATAGGGGGAAGGAAGTGGGAGCTGCACTTTGCGCAGTTCGCTCGCTCGCTCTCTCTTTTGTTTCCCTCTTTCTCTCCCCTTTGGTGTGCTTGCGGCACATTCTATGAGGAAAGGGCTGTTGAGACTCAATTCTGACAGTCTCTGCGATGCCCAAGGTCCACACTCAGCCCGATCATCATTTTTGCTACCAACAGAGGCAGCGCCAACTTTGTGCGTTGTGTTTTGCACAAGTTTTACTGTAAATTTTGAACAAATTGCAATGGCATCACACTACGGTTTGCAGTAATTAGTCAGCTGAGTCAGCTGAGTCATAATGTCAAAATCACTAAGAAGGTGCTTCCAATGTTGGGCAACCCTGCTAGAGAAGTGGCCACTATTTTAGCAAGTTTCAATGGCTGGCTGGTCATCGGCATGCAGGATCACGATCAATGCTTTTGTGGCAGGTATTTGCACGATCCGTGGCACTGACATTGTGTCCCCTCACGGCATCCCAGTTGACCTTCTGGATCGGCTTGTCATCATAAGGACTTTTCTCAGACTGAGAGAGAGAGAGAGAGAGAGAGAGAAATGTACTTCTGAAAGCCTTTCAGGACAATGCCCTACTCAGTGGATGAAATCATTCAGGTCGATTGCTTTTTAGTTTTATACGCCGGAAGACAGCCTTGGTGCCAATAAATGTGCCAACACTTCAAAGCTGTTGCTTTGTAGGTGGTCAATATCAGGGCCCAGACGGAGTCTCTTTCCGTTGAGGAGGACGCCCTCGCCCTGCTCTTGGCCTTCAGCGCTTGGTTTGGCAACTTGTTATCCTGCTTGTGCTAGCAGCTGGCAGGTGTCATGTATGCATCTTGCAGGATCCTTGTGGCCATACATGCACACACAGTGTGTGGCATCTGCCAGGTTAGCGGTTAGTCAATGCCTGCGAACCAAGCAGAATCGAGACACAGATGTTTATGTGGGCACTACGAGTGAAAGTGGTGGGTGTTCTTGGAAATAATGTTATATATTTGTTAATTGCTTTGGTGTTCTTCGTATAATCTCAACTAAGTATCTCAAGTGTTCTTTTGGATGTTAGAATATATAGGTATGCACAATCCAGACCGACCACACCATGACTTTTCTCACATCGCACGTATATACCTTTTTGCTTACTCTGACTCTGGTGATCTCTAGAGAAACTTGCACGCTGAGTGCTTGTGGGGCAAGAGCTGCTGAGCAACCTCAGGGTCATTTCGCTCGCATAGTATCACCGCTAGAAAGCACACATGTGCTTTTAAGGTTCCTTCAGGGCCACTGGGGAGAAGCTTTGTGTGTTTTTTGACGCACTTGAAAGTCAAGTTGCAAACGCAGTTGATGCTACGCTGGGCACGGGTGGTCGGGGTGGGGTGGAGTCCTGTTGACGTTCATGTGAAGTAGACTCCTTCATGTGTTGATGGACGCTTGGTGTGAAAACGCCACGGCCGTCTATCAAGCGCGTGTCTATAGCGCACGTACCTTTCAATGATGCAACAGATGCAATGAAGGCGAGATAAGTCCTCAAACAGTCACTTGAAGTGGTCAAAAAAGTCAGTCTTTGCGTACACAGACATGAGCTGATTTGTTGGAGGACATGCTGTATAATGCTGTATGTGTACTCCTGCTTGTTAACATGTGCATATACAGATATATATATAATATATATATATATATTATAATACAATAATATATGAATAACCATGTTATATATTATGTATAATATATATATATATATATCACGAAAGCCAGCCGGTAGGCAGGGCTTGAGGTTGTTGGAGCG